GTTTGCTGTGCCAGGAGCTGCCCCCTCCCAGCCTGGACGGGGATCAGGGCCCCCCCCTCAAACTGAGCCCCCAGGACCAGCAGGTGAGAGGGGGGACAATCCCAGGGGGACAATTCCAGGGGGACAATCCCAGGGGGGCAATTCCAGGGGACAATTCCAGGGGGACAATTCCAGGGGGGCAATTCCAGGGGACAATTCCAGGGGGACAATTCCAATGGGACAATCCCAGGGGGGCAATCCCAGGGGGACAATTCCAATGGGACAATTCCAGGGGGACAATCCCAGGGGGACAGTCCCAAGGGGACAATTCCAGGGAGACAATCCCAGGGGGACAATCCCAATGGGACAATCCCGGGGGGACAATCCCAGGGGGGACAGTTCTGGGGGGGACAATCCCATGGGGACAATCCAAGGGGACAATTCCAATGGGACAATCCCAGGGGGGACAATCCCGGGGGGACAATCCCGGGGGGACAATCCCATGGGGACAATCCCAGGGGGGACAATCCCGGGGGGACAATCCCAGGGGGGACAATCCAATGGGACAATCCCATGGGGACAATCCCAATGGGGACAATCCCAGGGGGACAATTCCAATGGGACAATTCCAATGGGACAATCCTGGAGGACAATCCCAGGGGACAATCCCAGGGGACAATCCCAGGGGACAATCCCATGGGGACAATCCAAGGGGGGACAATCCCAGGGGGACAATCCAAGGGGCACAATCCCAGTGGGACAATCCCATGGGGACAATCCCAGAGGGACAATCCCAGGGGACAATCCCAGGGGGACAGTTCTGGGGGGGACAATCCCATGGGGACAATCCCATGGGGACAATCCCAATGGGACAATTCCAATGGGACAATCCCAGGGGACAGTCCCAGGGGGGCAATCCCAGGGGACAATCCCAGGAGGACAATCCCGGGGGAACAGTTCCGGGGGGGACAGTCCCATGGGGACAATCCAAGGGGACAATCCAATGGGACAATCCCAGGGGGGACAATCCAATGGGACAGTCCCAGGGGGACAATCCCATGGGGACAATCCCGGGGGGACAATTCCAATGGGACAATCCCATGGGGACAATCCCAGAGGGACAATCCCATGGGGACAATCTCATGGGGACAATCCCGGGGGGACAATTCTGGGGGGACAATCCCATGGGGACAATCCCAGGGGGACAATCCCAATGGGACAATCCCATGGGGACAATCCCAGAGGGACAATCCCATGGGGACAATCTCATGGGGACAATCCCGGGGGGACAATCCTGGGGGGACAATCCCATGGGGACAATCCCAGGGGGACAATCCAAGGGGCACAATCCCAGGGGGACAATCCCAGGGGGGACAATCCCAGTGGGACAATCCCAGGGGGGACAATCCCAGGGGGGACAATCCCAATGGGACAATCCCAGGGACCAATCCCAACCCCATCCCAACCCCACAGAGGTGCGAGTTCGTGCTGCTGGAGCTGCTGTGCCACGAGCCCTGCCGGCCCCTGCAGCGCCTCTCCAGCTCCCCGGTGAGCCCCGCCGCGTGCGGGCCCCTAACGGTGGCACTTCTAATTAACACTTAATTAATTAGCGCTTTTAGGGGTTTTTTTTTTGCTTTTACTCCGAGCTAGGATTAACAAAACACGATGGGAACGGGTTTTTTTCGTGTTTGGGCTTGGTTTATATTAAAGTTTATCAGAAAGTACAGAACGTTCAGCAGCACTTGCAGCTGCCTGCTAGAGGTGAGGAAAATGGAGAAAGATTTAGCTGCTACCAAGTTTCCTAGAGTTAAATGGTATAAAAGAGGATTAACACTTATTATAATATTTTTAATAGTATTTATTATAATATATTATCATATTATATTATTATTTTATTATAATTATATTATTATATTTTGTTATATTACATTATAATATTATCATATTATATTAATATATTATTACACTATATAATATTATATTATTATATTACTATACTCTATTATTATATTATATTATTATATATTATTATATTATTATAATATTACTGATTTTAACTCAATAACTAACTTCCTTAGCACTTACATTATTTACACTTTTAACTCAATAACTAACTTCCTTAGCACTTACATTATTTACATTATTTAAATTATTTACACTTTTAACTCAATAACTAACTTCCCACACTCTTAGTGTGACACTGACTGACCAATCAGAATCTGTTACCTGAAACCCATGGAGAAGGAAGACGAGCACTGAGACAAGGCCTAAAATCTTCCCTATTTTATGTTATAAAACCCTCAGACTTAAACCCCTTCACTCTGTGCAACCACACCCTTCCAATTCACCACCCCCCCGTGATTTTAACTCCCATCACCCACGTTCAGAACCCGTTTCCCAGGCCTCGGGTCTCGGCCTTTGTTTCCTGCTTGAAAACCCGGAGGGCTCCAACCCCTCCGGGTTTTTGGGATGCAGGGGGACCCCGTCCCAGCCCTGACCCCGCCCCTGCTCCCCCAGGACGGCCGCGACGCCATCGACCTGACGCTGATGCGGGCGCGGCTGCAGGAGAAGCTGAGCCCCCACTACCGCAGCCCGCAGGAGTTTGCCCGCGATGGTTGGCAGCTGCTGCGCCAGTTCCACCGCCTCACCGAGGTCTGGGGACCCCTCCCCACCCCGAGAGCCTCAGCCCCCGGGGACCCCCCCAGCCCCCTCTGCAATCCCCTGGGGGTTTTTTTTTTGTTTTTTTGTTTTTTTTTTTTTCCACCCCCCCTCTCTCCTCCCCAGGACAAGGCGGATGTGCAATCCATCCTGGAGCTGCAGCGATTCCTCGAGAGCCGCCTCAGCGCCGTCTTCGGGGACCAGAAGTTCTCCAGGCTCCTGCTGGATCCCGAGGATGCCCTGGAGATGTTCCCAGGGTCCTGATCTCCCTTTCCTGGGGGGGTTGAAACCCCCTGTCAGGATCCCAGTTTCCCCACTGGGGTCCTGGTTCCCCCCCCCCCTCCACGGTTCCAGTTTCCCCCAGAGCCTCCCAGGCCATGGGGACGTGCCTGTCCCCCTCTTATCCTGGGGTCACTCAGAAAAATACAGCCCTGGTTTGGCCTCCTGGATTCTCCTTCATTTCTGTGCTTGGATTTGACCTGGATTTCCTGGATACTCCCTCATTTGGGGCTGGGCTGGATTTCCTGGATACTCCCTCATTTGGGGCAGGATTTTCTGGATTCTCCGTCATTTGGGGCTGGATTTCCTGGATTCTCCCTCATTTGGGGCAGGATTTTCTGGATTCTCCCTCATTTGGGGCTGGATTTTCTGGATTCTCCCTCATTTCAGGGCTGGATTTTCTGGATTCTCCCTCATTTGGGGCTGGATTTCCTGGATTCTCCCTCATTTGGGGCTGGATTTCCTGGATTCTCCCTCATTTGGGGCTGGATTTCCTGGATTCTCCCTCATTTCAGGGCTGGATTTCCTGGATTCTCCCTCATTTCAGGGCTGGATTGACCTCTGTGCCCCCCCTCCATTTTCCCTTCTTCCATCCATGTCCCCCCTCACCCCCGAGCTGAACTGGGAGCTGTGGGGGTGGAGCTGGGGCTGGCAGCGCTGAGAGGGGAGGGACTGGGAGGGGAAACTGGTCCCAGTGCACCCCCCCGGGCCCGGGAAAGATGGCGGCGCCCATGGGGAACATGGCGGCGCCCATGGGGAACATGGCGGCAGCCATTGGGAGAAAGGGGCTCAAGCCCCGCCCCCGGCGCAGGATTGGCTGGTGGGAGCCGGGAAGAACCGAGCGCGGGAAAGAGATCCGGGGAGACACGAAGTGGATGCCGGAAAGAGCCGAAGTTATCCGGAAAGACCCGAGGGACAAAGATCGGTGCTTTTCGGAGCGCCTCGCTCCGCCTTTTTGCGGAAGAACCCGAAGGGTTCCGGAAAGCACCGAAGCGGGGTCGAGGCGCCGGAACGAGTCGATCTCCTTCCGGAAGAAGCCGAAGCACCTCGGGGTTACCCGAGTCTTTCCAGAAAGTGCTGAGGGGTCCCGAACCGCCCCTTCCGGGGACCCCCGAGCCCCCCACCCCGCCTCCCTCCCTTCCGGAGATCCCCGAAGCCATTCCGGAGTTTCCGGAAGCCGTTCCGAAGCGGCGCCCGCCAACCCCGAGGCCGTCCCGCAGCCGGTTCCGAACTTCCGGAACCTCCGGAAGTTGCCAGGAGGCTCCGGAGTTTGCCGAGAGATTCCGAAGCCCTCCGGAGGTTTTAGAAGCGATTCCAGAGACTCACGAAGCGGCCTCGGAGATTGCCCAGCGGTTCGGAAGCGGTTCCGGAGATTGCCGAACCATCTCCACCTTTTCGGAGATTTCCGGAAGGTTTCGCGCGGCTCCGGACATCCCTGAGCCCGTTCCGCAAAGCCCCGAAACGGTTCCGAAGCGGTTCCGGAGATCCCCGAGGCGGTTCCGGAAGTCGCCAAGTGACTCCGGAGATCCCCGAAGCGATTCCGGAGCTATCCGAACTCTCTCCGGCGCCTCACGAAACGTCTCCGGAAGTTGCCGAGCGCTTGTGAAGCGGTTCCGGAGAGTCCCGAGCGGTTGCCGGAAGTTGCCGAGCGGCTCCGGAAGTTGCCGAGCCGGCCGGCCCTCAGCACTCGCCCCCGGCCCCCGTCGCCCCCGGACCCCCCAAGCGGAGCCGCCCCCGGCCCGGCCCCGCTCCCTCGGCCCCGGGGGGGGCCCGGACCCGCCCCGGCCCCGCCGCCCCGGCCCGGCAGGATGATCAAGCTGTTCTCGCTGAAGCAGCAGAAGAAGGAGGAGGAATCGGCGGGCGGCACCAAGAGCTCCAGCAAGAAGGCCTCGGCCGCGCAGCTCCGCATCCAGAAAGGTCTGGGGGGGGTCGGCGGGCACGGACTGGGCCCAGTAAAGGCCGCGGACTGGGCCCAGCAGGGCCCTCGTGGCGGGCAGGCACCGGGCTCGTTAACGGCCCCGTGGGGTCTGGTACTGGTCCCAGTAGGGCCTCCATGGGGGCCGGGACTGGGAGCCATAGGGCTCTGATACTGGTCCCAGTAAGGCCTTGGTGAGGGACAGGTACTGGTCCCAGTTAGGCCCCAGTGGGAGGCAGGTTCTGGTCCCAGTAGGAGTCCAATACTGGTCACAGTTAGGCGTCAAGGAGGGGCAGGTACTGGTCCCAGTAGGGGTCACATACTGGTGCCTGATAGGCCCCAGTGGGACACAGGTACTGGTCCCAGTAAGGGTCACACACTGGTCCCAGTCAGGCCTCAGGGAGGGACAGCTACTGGTCCCAGTAGGGGGCAGATATTGGTTCCAGTAGGGGTCACACACCAGTCCCAGTAGGGGTGAGGTACTGGTCCCAGTTAGGCCCCAGT